TATTTTGAAATAATACACAACAACATGATTACAGTCCCATTCTCGTCTTAACGGGAAAAAATACAAAGTTTATTACAATTTAAAATGTTCAGCATATTACACTTAAGGCACTTTTGGTGATGCTCTTATAACGCGACAGAGTTCAAGTAGCTCAAAATGGATACAAAGAAATGCACAATGAATGTTCCCTCGTAGCGAAGTAAACTTGTACCGCATATACATACAACGCCAAACTTTGTCAGCTGTAGCACGTTACCGGAGTATGCGCTCTTAAGAACAGTCGTCAACGCATGAAGCGTGCTCTGAGCATCCCTTGAAAAAAAGAATTGGCGGCGTAAAACTGTAATAGGTGTTAAGACTACGCTCTTCTCCTGCGATTCGCTCGTGGCATATGTCTCAGACGTTTGCACCGAAATGACCATGTTCTAGTACGGTGCGGCGTAATGGCATTCAGTGGGGGTCCCCTTCAGCCGCCGGTCGATTAACATTCCAGCCGCATCTACGTATTGCTAATGGACCACACCTCGGTCAGCTAAGGTCACCGACAACTTAAGAAAGGCAGGGTGTGGTGAGACCTGAGCATTGTATTATTGCTCAGTAGCCTATAAAAATGCGGCATTAATTGACGAGAACCCCCAAGAGCCAATCACAAAGTAAGATGCGCAAAGAAAAGCCATGCGTTTACGTTTCGTAGGCGGCCAGTTACTATGCGGAGCGCAAGTTCGTCTGCTTCTTGCACAGGGGTTGCAATGATGTGAGAACGCTGAGCTCTTATTGATTGATGGAAAAAAATAGTAAGTAGACCTCGTGGCATCTAACATCGAGTTCTACCCACTATTCTTTCGATCAAAGCAAATCATAGCTCGGCGTCGTTCCGATGTCATTACAACTCCTGCGTAAGAAGACGTACTGTCCGTATAGGTGCGTGCCTGTGTTTCTTGCTATGCGGGGCTAAAGTTCGTCTGCTGCTTTTGCAGGGGTTTTAATGACGTCAGAACGCCGAGCTCTGATTGGCTCTGATTGAAGGATAGTGGGTAGACCTCGAGGCAGTTGGTTTTGAGGTCTTTGAGGCCCGCAGCACAAAATTGCGAGAAAGAGTTAAAAATATAGATAATCCGGAATCTCAGTTCCGCAGCGATAGGCGGGAAATGCTCTTTCGTGGGCTCCAGAGTATAAAATAAAAATGAAAAAAACATTGTGCTGCAAAAGTGCTGGAGCCACCTGAAACAGCGGTTTCTTGGTGTGGCGGAAATCAGTCTGCCAGACTGGGATTACAACTTCGTCTCTTGAACAGAGTTTCTGGAAATGGCTGCTATGTAGGGTCAACTGATGGTACTGCCACCATCGTGTTATAGCCAACAAAGTACGGCACGGAATGAACTTGTAAAGGATTAAGGAGACACTTAAAACGTGACATATAAGGACACTTGCAAGACGCATATGTGAATTAATGGGGACTAGGATAGATATTGCTTCGGCGAAAAAAAAACTAGACTAGATTATTATAAACCGGACACAACACCAAGCTATACGTAATTGTAAAAAAAAACGCAAAAAAAAATAAAATTGATAGCTGCGCACAATGCAACTTTTAGTTTGGTTTGCTGTGCTACAAGAGCAGGAAATCACTGGTAATTCAGGTTATTTCTGCGCTACCAGTATAAGAAATACTGCAAGTTCACTTGCGAATGTTTATGATCTTTAAAAAGACCAGATAAAAATGTATTTATTGGTCTCCTTCGCATCGTTCACTTATATTGTTTTCGTGCCGCCATTTCTTGGCAGACACCACAAGTGTGGACTAGTCGCCGTAGAGATTTAGTATGCTTTTGTCCCAAAATGTTTAAAGTTACTCCTGGTATCTAGGGCTGTACTGCTTAGGAATTACTACTAAGGAAAGGACCTCAAATCTGTGGCTCTCCGATATATACTCTTCCTAATTCAGCAAAATCAGTACGGCATAAAATATTCCTAAGGTAAAAACAAAGTTATTTTCCGTTCTAGACGCAGTCAGGGCACGGTTTTAACATACACAAACAGCTTATATTACAGCAAGCGAATGACATGGCACTCCAGCGGCCGTTTATGTACAAAATGCGCTACCTAACTTTAAACGTGGTTTACAACTTCAGTAAGAAAGGCCGCATATTTTGGCACAGTTTCACATCGTGCAGCAACATTCCATTACCTCAAAATGTCTCATATAATAAAAACCACACACTCCTTGTTTCTAAAATATGCAAACCGTCCATGCAGCATCCACTGAAAAAAAAAAAAAAAAAACAGCGGATGCTGCGCACAAATGTAGTGTATCATACAGCATAAATGGCACAGTAACAAACGCTCTGCACCGGAGCGATGGCACCGCATGCATCACGGGCACCCGCAACACTGCTCTTGGCACGGGACACTCTGGACTGCACATGATCCCGCCTTCCGCATTAGTCTACCGACACCTTAGCACGGACATTGCACGACAGACCCCTAGCAAGTACAATCGCAGCATCCACAACATAAGTGGCAGTCCCAGGCACGTCCAATAATGTATTCGTAAAAGCTTGTGAAGTAAGTCAATATGGCCATTTCCGGCACTCTAATTGGCGCGTTGTCTTTAGACGTCACATTGCCTGGTTTTTGGTGGGACAGAAAAGAAAAGGGGGGGGGGGGGAGGGTTCTGAAGCTTTTGGTAAATACGCTTCGGCGATACACGCGGTAGAATTTAGCTGTTTCGAATATTTGATTACTCGACAGACCATAAGCTAATCTGGAACCGGCTAAGGGCAAGATGAGCCGCTGAGGCGTGTTTTCTTAAGTCCCCCCCCCCCCCCCTACCCGCCTTCCTCTCTTTTTTCCCTCCGTATATCAGGCGGTATTACGTCCATGAAAACGAGCCAATCGGAGCGTCAAAATTTACCCTATTAACTGATTACACAAGCCTTTCTCAATACGCAGCACGGTCAGCACCAGAGACTTTGGGTCTTCCCAACTCCTGTCTGTAATATTCTCCATCAACACGAAACTTGATTTTCAGAAATGAGAAATTATGGGAGTGGTTGACTTCGATGAAAACGCTTTAAAATTCCCCTTTTTGTCCTTGCTTTAAGGGAAGATTCCCGTCTGGAGATAGAAGAAAACAGTGACTAAACGGACATCCGCCGGAGAAATTTCTATAACATCAGTAATCTTCCGATGAATGGAAAAGCTTTAAAATTCTCAGCCAGCAAAGAGTGTGTAATTGTAGTCAAACCCTTAATTATAATTTCACTGCTGTAGCGGATGAACGGCTCATCAGAGAGACCGAAAAGACTGTCATTTTTTCATTAGCCAATAAGCAGAAGGTGACTCGAAATAAGATTAGAGCTTCGTGACAATTCCTGCACCGTCTATTGAGTTCCTATTAGAACGAAGGCGCCGTACTGTCTGTCCTTGTAATTTTTATTCTATCAATAAAACGTTACGCGCTCATGTCTAAGCAAGGCACATCCTGGTCTAAGGCTTCAGGTGTCAGCATATCCCATGATTCAATAACATACCGCTACAAAGAATATGTGAAACTTTAAGTCGCTTTGTTCCTTTCTGAAAATAAATTTAATGCATATCTTTGCAAATATCTTGTGATCTTCTGTAAAAAACCAAAGCCTTCTAAGGCAGTGGGTCGTACATCAATGCGGACAACGATAGCGTGCAGATGCTCACATGTTTACAATGACGGATCATCAGGCAGAGCACTTGAACGAAGAATTTTAGCAACAAAGAAAACACCACAATGTAAAGAAAACGGTCATGTGAACAGGTTACACGGGAAAGCTATGATGCTTTTCGGATTTAAGGATCAGAACAACAGCACAAAGCAAGGCGACGGCACACTTCACGTATGAGCGTTGTGTCTTGAATGTTTGTTAAGTGCATCACCTAGACAACTATACAGCAGTAAACTAATATGAAGAATGTAAGACGCACATACGACCTGCAATGGCAAATAATAACTTCCTTTGTTCGTTCGCAACTAATCGCAAAATGTTGGCCTAATGGTCAAGAGAAACTGGTGATAGAGAGTTTTAATGAAAGTTTTTTTTTTTTTATGGCTAGTCCAAATTTCGCGAATGATTGCGTGGAAGCGGTTTTTGAACAATAGACGCAGTACGGCGTGCTTTAGTGCAACGTACCACAGGCACATATGTTCAAAACATTTGATGGTAATGTTGTTCCAGCGATGGTGCAACCTCGCAGTTAACCCCCATTACTTCGTACATAATCACTGACCAAACTCCAATTGATATTGACAACACGGCAGACATTTATTCTTTCTATTGATATGCCAAGAGCTCTCGTGCCAGATAGAGATCAAAGCTTCATAATGTGTCCTTTCGAAATCAAGTAGCTGAAAGCTCGTTCACTTCATGTTTCGTCTTATGGCGGGCAGCACAGCTGATGAGAACTTTAGTACTCGCGCGCGCCGTTTACAGCTTCCACGAGCACTTAATGACTCAGTACAAGATGTCTTCTCTTTTGTGACTGCTACCACACTGCGCGGAGCTCACCTACTGCCCGCGCCTTTACATTCGTTTATTTTTCAATATTTATTTTTTTTTGTTTTGTTTTTTTTTGTTCGTGTGAACGTTTGGAAAGCCCTGAATGGAAGCAATTACTCTAGTAATCGTCAACAATTCACCCAGCACGCTCAGGACCAACGGAAAGTCGTCGGAAGTGCATCAATTAACGCAGAAACGATACAATTCAATTTTTAAATCTCGACAAGGCCAATCGATCACTTCCAGGGCCATCCGCAAACAAGGACGATAAAAAAAAGACTGTTCCGACATCAAAAAGCTAATTCATACTGTATAGAATTCATCACGGATATATTGTCAGCAGCAGTTAGCGAGGGTGAAAGAAAAACAATTCAAGTTTCCTTTGAACCATCTCCCTCTTGAGCACACTGAGCACATCCCGGCATCACGGATCTGCTCATGCTACCAACGACAAGCCTTACGCACGGGCTAAGTGAAGAAGTCAAGTGGAGGGAGCGGAGACAGCGACGCGTCCTTGCCCTTGATAAGCAGGTGGGGCAGCGAACCCATCTGGTGCATGTCCCCATCCAGGAGCCCATTGGAGGTGCCCAGGGAGTTCTTCTTGCCGTCGGCGACGCCGTACGACATCACTGACCGGTGCTGGGTCCCGTCGGGGGACGACGTGGCGCAAGGTCTCGTCTGCGACTGCAGCATCGAGTCCGGGCCCACGCCCTGTGCCGGAGGCAGCATCGGGCTGTAGAAGCTGCTGGGGTTTGCCGACATGTTGGAACCAGTCCCGAACCCGGCTCCGTACGCTGGCCCCGCCGGCAATGAGGTCTGGAAGCCGAAGTCGTACGGGTTTCCGGAGCCGAACGCCCAGGAGTCCATGGTCGGGTTCAAGGGGGGTAGCGTCGGAGACGTGGACGGGTAAGGTGATGCTTTCTGTAAGTTCTGCGCTGCTGCTGTTGTTTATTGAGGGATGAAATAAAAAAAAGGCGGTATTATCTCGGCAACTTTTTGATGCAGTAAGGCAGTCAAAGCAATGACCTCCGGGGTGCTCGCACAACCCTGACAGCTCCTCATAACTATGCAGAGTCACTCACATGTTCTCTTAATCACCACGAAAAGTTGTCCTCGACTAGGGCATACTAACACTCGAGTGCACAAAATCAACGATCCGTTTCTAGGCGCATGACAACCTAGTCCGTTTGTGTCATACAAGCATAATATAATGAAACAATACATGGTTCTAAAGAACTTAATTTTAGAGCGCAGCTCTTAGGGGCCCGTTTCCAGCCTGAGCGGCGTCGCCGTTGGCGTCGGCGTCGCCGTCGGCGTCGGCGTCGGCGTCGGCGTCGGCGTCGGCGTAACCGCGCCCCTCCCTCTCCTCCTCCTCCCTCTCCTTCTCCCCCTCCTCCTCCCCTCCTCCTCCTCCCCCTTCTCCTCCTCCCCTCCTCCCCCCCTCTTCCTCCTCCCCCTCCTCCTCCTCCCCCTCCTGCTCCTCCTCCTCCCCTCATTGTCCGGCTTGAGCGGCAAGGAGGAAAGCAGTACGAAGGTGGAGGAGGGGGGGAGGAGAGACGAGGAGGCGGAGGCGAGGGGAGGGGAGGAGCTTGAAGGACGAGGAGGTGGTAAAGGAGAGGGAGGGGGAGCAGGAGGGGAGGAGGACTAGCAGGCATGATCACAAGGGAGGAGGAGGAATATACCCTCCACTCCTCCTCCTCAAGAGCTGCGCTCCAATTCGGCGTTACAGGAAGTTGTAAACGGCTTTCATTTTTTCTTCCAATGCGACTGTGGTTTGAACCGCTGGCGTATAAACTCGTGCAGCCCATCATATTTAAAATAATTTCTTGCAGCTTTGAAGATTGCTTTTTGAGAAATATCAAAGGCTTAATTAAACCCAACTTTTTTTGTGTGATTTCTGTTTTTCTTTTTTTTTTTTTTGCTTTGAATTCTGTTATGTATATTTTTCATGCATATTTCAATACATTTAAGGCCACATAATACATTTAATACATTTAAGGCCACATAAATCAATTTTAGCCGAGCTTGTTCTAAACCAATGTTTTCAAAAATACTTTAAATTCCTGCACAAGGGGCATAACATTTTCTTTATTTTTGTATACGCGTGTATGAAAAATTAAAACAGTTTTTTTGCTACAAATAAAAACGTTTACCTCTTTAAAACACTCGTATCATGAAAAAAAACTTGCAGCCAATCAGTACGATACGTAAACTAATATGCATGCATCGGTACTTGTGTTCCAACACGTTAATTCTGCCGTTCCAATAATGTCAGTGAATGTAACAAGCGGAATGAGAGCGGCGGGAGGTCTTTCAGTCGGCCCATTTCCAGCGCGGGCTTCCCACCCCCGAAAACACCTCGGCGCCCTGTGAGCCTCAAACCGAGCAGAGCGGCCAAAGGACGACCGAAGGCAGCGAGCTCGTGTTGGAGGCCAGGCACCGGAAATAGCCGCCCTGATGTTCTCGTCAGTGACTATGGACGATTAAGAGCAGGGCCGCGGTCCGCCGCCATGTCTCTGCTCGTGGTGGCAAGCACGATCAATTGCAACTTGCAAGCCTCCCGAATCTACGTTCACGCGCACGCTGCACATGTTCGCACCCGCGAAGCAGCCGTCGGGGTCACTCTCACGCCGTGATCGGGGCCAACGTTAGTAGGTCAAAATCGGGGCGCCATGTTTGCCATTGTTGACACAGTATTATATTTATCGGGCCAGCGATGTAAGAGCAAAAACACACCGAAATCCGGCGACAGAATCCGCGCCAGGGCGGCGTCGTATCGAAACAACCTACCGGTCTGCAGGAAGTTGGTCTTCCTTGGGGGTTCACGCTTCCTCCATTTCGCGCGTCGGTTCTGGAACCACACCTGCGGGGGCAAGGATGGAAAGACGGAACTCGTCTCAAGCGCACAAAGCACATGCAGCCCATGCACGGCCAAACAGCGTGTGATGCGGCGGTTTGCTAGCAATGTCCACTGCCGGCTGGCCAGGCTAACGTCCAGAGCTGTAAATAAAGCATTATTTCCTAGATGGCGACCACCTGCTCCGGCCCTTAACCGTTGGAGTGTACTTTTTAAAGGCCACAAAATCAAAGTATTCTTCAATATAACGATATTGAATCATGCACAGTTCGTAATAACTGATAATAATAAAAGTGCCAGGAGGCAAGCGGCTAGAAGAAATGTTTCTTCCACTTGTTCGCTATCTGGCCTCTTGGCAATGTTAGTTATTCTTTTTAGCTATGCCGTACCAACCAGTACATGGTACCGGCGTGCGCTCGTGTTTCACTGTTGCCCGATGCACGTTCAACAGCCCAGGCTAGCAGTCGTACTGCATCGGCTAAAAGTCTCATCTACAGCTTGAACTATGCCCCTATACTCTGGCAGAGCAAACTCCCGTTGTCTAAACAACCAACAACTAATGTTAAGCGACTAGCCCAAGTGTATACCTACTCTTCTATAGTAAACTTGTTATATTAACTCGCAGCATCTTTCCGTTCAATTAATACTAAACGGTATCGCCCTTATCTCTTTTTCTCGAGGCCACGAGTGGGCGCTCTAAAGATGAAAAAAAAAAACAGCATGTGCAAGTGTATGGATATCTGTAGCGGCCATTCCCTCACCTGTACCCTAGATTCGCTTAGGTTCAGCCGAAGTGCCAGGTCTTCCCTGGCGAAGACGTCGGGGTACGGTGCTCTCTGGAACGCCCTCTCCAGCTCGTCCAACTGGAAGGCCGTGAACGTTGTCCTGCGCGAGTTAACAGCGCCTTTCTGACAATGTGCTCCGGAGGAACCAATAGGTTTGTACATTCTGGTGCCGCTATTCTCGTGGCCAGACCTGCCCTCCGCTATGAAAAAACCGCAGTCCCAATGCTCGTAAATCATACAAAATATATGGTGTTTCCTGCAAACATCATGACAGGGTCATCTGCGGGCACGTCTGAAGCATGTTTCTTCAGCGTGTCTGCTTCATACATATTTCGAATATTTTTGCAGACCGTTTTTGCGTTATTAATATGAGACAGACCCGTCACACAAAGAACGCTTTCGGCAGCGTCTGCAGACCGTCTTTTGTATGATACATTAGCAGTCTGACCGTGGCTTCAATGACCAGGAGAGTCGACCGCCGCCATCTTTGTTTAATAAACCGCACTTTGCTTAGGTTCCTTTTTGATACACGGCCACGCTCACGGACGCGGTGTCGAAGCGAATTGAAGAGCATCCATTCTCGACAAAACTTTTACTTTGGCACACACAAGAATAAAATCTGAAGCAGATAATGACGGAAGTAACAGAAAGGGAACGGACAAGCACAAACTTCCAAGTAGCAACAAGATTTATTGGGCCAGTATAATATGCGTGCTTTGAATTATATCGGTAGCGGCGCCAGTTGGGAAACCTGTGTACGTTCTCTACCTTTTTTTTTTTGTGTCGTCTTTATGTCTGAAAGATATTGTCGGCACTCCCGTCTTGGCTTTGAAAATGAAAGGTTAAATTAGCTTCAGAGCAGGGTGCCAGTCATCCACGATACGAACCACTTTCCGCCTCGTTGTAGAGACGCGATTTTGTAGATTCACTAAGACTGCTAACTGGGGTGTCTCCCTCTTACATCTCGTTGTAATCTGCGGCGAGGTGTTTCTGTGGCACCATGTACCGGGCGCTCTCCTTTGACTGAACGGGTAGGATTCGAGCAGACGACGCGCTACTTAGTCGCACAAAGTGCTTGTTGGCTCTCAGTTTTGCCGATTTTTTTAACGGTTTATTTTTTGAAGAAGAGTGTAGGACGTTTTTCGGGAAGGATTTTTCTAGTGAATTAAAGCGCCCCCGAGCCGCTTTTCTATGTGACAACCTTTAATATGTTCTAAAAGAAGCCTGGAGCTTTACGTAACAGCCTGCGCGGCGTGCGTAACGGACATTCACGACGTCTCAAATTCTTGTTCGTTAAACCTGTGAAGGCTCCTGTGGAAGACGTTTTGCAGCCATCAGAGTGTAGGAAGTCTTCCATTTCTACTGCGTGCGCGCGTACTGTTGAGTGACCTGGCGCGGCCCACTTCTTTTAGCTACATTGAGCTTGCCAATACCGACGCTTCTGTTCGAGCGTGATTCGACTGTTGCTGACGAGAATTTGTACGGCATCGTGCGAACCAAGTCTGCTTAGTGATTGTTGTTATTTTACCGTGGCGCTTTCTCCCTCCCGCACCGGATGAGGGGAAAAGGAGTTTGCCACATCGCGAGTTCTGCTGGAAGGAAGAGCAGAAATCTACATAACTTCTTTAATTGTCGGTCGTGGCCCGGAAAATTGATACGATTGATTATTTTGTTTTATCAAACGTTTTGTCAGTATATGATTACACTAATAAAATCACTCATTCAAAAGCGCACCACACATTTTACGCAATTATTTGGGTTTGCCAAAATGAAACAAACATATGGTCGCAACGCACAGCGGGTGTATAACTTTCTTCTTTTTTTTTTTGGGGGGGGGGGGGGCGTTTAAGTGTTATCAACTTATAGATCTAACTAATCTCAATCGCGATGGGGGTTTCGCACCTTTCTGGCTAAACGGGTGAGTAATTAACAACTCCGGAAATTAGCCACCACTTCATTCAGCCGTATACTTCGAGAAATTGTCTGTTTGCTGGTTATCAAAATTTAAAAAATAAAATAATTATAATCTTCAAATAAGAGATCAGCAGTGGAACGAACAGGATACATGAATTTTCTTTTTCATTGAAGTTTATACTACACACATTTTCCAGTTTGCCTTAATTTCTTTCATTCGATGATACATTCATTCCTCAGTTTAATTTCGATTACATTTTAATAAGAATACTTTGTGTTCATTGTTGCAGGTGTTGTACTGGGGTAAAGCGATGAATATCCAGCATTTAGTACTGGGGTAGAGGACAGTACGCTACAATCACGGCGCGCTTCGTCACTTTAGTACCAAAAGTGTCTGTTAGCACAACAATTCGTGTCACGCATTCAAGCTCTGATAAAATGTGCGACCCCAAATATTACCTCACGAAATAAACACAACGTGAAAAAGGGTTTTGCAGAGTAAACCCAAACAACACACGAACCAAGCTGACGAGCCAAAGAATTTGCGCCGTCCGCCTCGTCTTTTCTATCCGCTACGTCACAAACAATGATGATGATAGCTAGAGAAGCGCCCCCTGTAGTTCGCGCACGCCGCCAACAATAGGAACTGAAATGCGTGCCACCGCATTGCCAGTTAATTTCGAAATATTCAGGTGTACCACTTTTGGTACATATGTAGCCTAAGTTTGGCATTTCTAGTAGTATAAATTGGGCTAATAAACTATTGCTCTATGGCCTTACTTAGGCCCAAATTACTTTTTTTTTCTTAACCCTAGCTAGATAGAACAATGTGGAAATCTAACACTTCTATAAATCGCCACAAAAAAAAGGCCACAGATGAAATAAAGCTGGCAAGTCACAATTGAACAACCAGCATTGAAAACTAATTCTAACATTTACTCGAGAATTGAAGCCCAAATGTTCCAAAAGGCAACCGAATAACCGAGCAGTGAAGCCAAACTTTTCCTCTTGTTTGGCAGTTTAGGACCTCCAGGCGAGAATTGAACACGCAGCACTGAAGCCTAATTCTGCTTCATAAGTGAGGTCCAAAGAAGCCTGTTGACCACCGATCAACCAGGCAGCGAAGTCTTGCACTAGTTTGACGGGCCAAGATAAGCAGACTCTGGCAAGATCAAGTTTGGTTATACCTCTTCGGGCTTTCGGGGCCCTAAATTGTCAGAAAAAATCCGAATCTGGGGCCAAAGAACGGAGCTACTGTGAAGACCCCATTTCAACCAGCGACCGAAATAAAGCACCTTTTGTCGTCCCCAGGAATCTTCGCCGCTCGTTCACGAAAAAATGTCCTTGCGTTTGCAAGAGCAAAATTTTCTTTTTCTGCACTCTCATCGCAACAAACATATTTTTTACGCTGAAAGTTGACTGAGTATCCCCATTTAACCAACACATGAAGATAAATGTTTGTACCTTGTTTTCTTCTTCTTCGCTGTCTTGTCTCCGTCAGATGTCGAAGACTTTTCAGGCGTCTTCGTCTTCTGGGGCTCTATAAAAAAATATTCACGGTGGTGAAAAAAAAGCGTAAACCTATTTCGAGTATCTGACAAATACCCTGATATTGTGTGACCATGGCTTTGAACAACCCTTAATTTACGAAATGACTATTTACATCTAACCTTGCACATTCACAACGCGAACCATCATGTCCACACACAGAAAAAAAAAATGGTTTATAGACCCCGACAGAATAAAAACGGCATGGCCTGTCTTTTGAACGCCCGGCCTCCAGCAGGCGCTCCGTGCCTTCCATCGTGCTTTGACTGCACGCGCCCGCTCAAGGTGCCCGAGACGTCGAAGCATTGTCGAAGGTAGGAAGCTCGGACTGGAGGCGGGACAATGAAAACCCCTTGCTGCCCTTAGAACTTTGTCAGGGACTATAGACCTTTGCAACGCGTATCGCCCGGGCGACAAATGCCGAGTTACTGGGCTCTGGACGCATGCACAGCATCTGACCTATCACACAGCAGAGAAACAGCGCATGCTCAGAAGTCGTTCCACAGCCAAGCAGACAAAGATGGCAGCATCCAGAAGGCGATTTTTGAGAAGGTCTATAGGCTCTAAATAATCACAACCAGAGGCAAATAAGTGGCAGCACTTACCACTTAACAAATTTAAAGGGTGTCACGTCTAGCATCGAGATATACATGGAGATGTTGGGGCCGCCATACATTCTTGAATCAGCTTTTCCTTCGTACATGGATTTCGTTTAATCCATTCGTATTATGCATTTATGCAATGACACACTACAAAAAGACCACCGAGCAGAAAGCCTACCCTTGAGTTATATTCGCCGAAATCACAATCGCTGTGCAAAGACAACGCCAAGGATAAGAAATTAAAAAAAAAAATGCGAACAGTTTCTATTATTTTTCACTTGGCCTGACCAATTAACGATTGGTCATTAAGCCTTCCGGCTATAGTCTGGGGGCCGTGAGTAGCAAGCGGAGTCATGTGACACGTAGCGTGACCACGTGACGTCAGTCACATCACGTCGTCACGTGGTCTCGGATGTGCGCTACGTCATATCCCACATCCCATAATATCTCATAATACCACAAGTAAAAAAGATCTGAAAATTAAGTTTTATCGCTGGCCTTTACAATTCTAAGTGGTACAAGACAATCGCATATCTTATACGAGTATCACACGAATAAAACACACAACATATTGCAAGCCGCAGTGCGCCACAGGTGTGTAATCAAAATATTGCTAATTATAAAAACTAACTCGAGACACAGGCAAAGTGTGGCAGACGACCCTGGCCAAACATTGGCGTCACCTGTCCGCTCTTCATAAAGAAAAAATAGGTATGATATATGGTTCATTCATACGGTATCTTGGTATATGGTTCGCATGGGTCCTATTCGCCTCGAGATCGAACCGTGTCACCACCGTGCGGCCGAAATTGCAAACGCGCGGAAGCGGGGATACCGCCGCGCGTCGTCTGCTACGGGCGCACGCTCAGAAGCATGGATCTCGAAGACGCAAGCCTGTTTCCGGCTGAGCTTGACTTTCGTTATTAAATGCTTTATGTTTTTGTTGCCTTTTCTTCTTACTAAAGGTTGTATTGTATCGTTTCCCATGCGTAGAAATTCAGCAAAGCGATTATTATTAGTAAGTCGGAAACTTCCATAACCTTAGTGTATTGGTTTGTATACAATCGCTGGTCCCACGTATTTTAGTTATCTCGCACAAACCGTGGCTTTCATAAAGCATTGAATGTTGAGTGGGTCTGTGGTTTGATTAGAAAATTAACCCGACTGATCGCTATCCTTTAATAGACTAATCAATCAATAAATTCGTATGTTGATTTTTCGCCGTTCATATTGCGTGAAAGACGTTAAAACTACACATTTTTTATTGGTTTTAATATGTCATAAATGGCATATTGCATTCCCATTCTAAACTTCACGTTGTGAGTCCTATATAAATATGAACACGGGAAGCCTTTTAAAGTGAAGTATTTTTTAACTTATTATTTAAACGGTATAATCACCCTCGGCGGAATGACAAGCACGCTGAAGTGGTTTACCGTGCAAGCCTGTGTCACAAAAGAATTAAAGACGTCAAAAATATTAAAGCAGGCATTTTTTACTCTTTCTTCACTCCTTGTTGAACCGGCAAAAAAAAATCGCAAATAAAGCGTTACTTGAGTAGTCTGAAAATTAATCGATGAACTACCCAGTTCCGATATACGTTAGGTGAGGGCGGAGGGTGATCGGAAAGTTTTGTGAAGATCGCTAGCCCTCATCAGTAGTAGAGAATCACTGCTGCCGATGCAGTTTGTGTCGTGGTGCGCGTCGTTTGTTGAGGTAGCAGTGTCTACTGTGTTTGAATGCAAAATTATTTAGCCAGAAATTTATAGTATTAGCCTCTGGACGTCCGCGGCCCTCACCAAGAAAATTGAAGCGGGTGAACTCACACTACCGAGAAAAGCATTTAATAACAGGTAATTGATGCGTTGCTCGGTTACACTCGTTTATTTAAGTCGCGGCAGATTTATTAGAACAGTTTGTTTCACTTGTTTCAGTTGTCCTGCAAACCGTGCAGTTTGCAGATCTTAACTAGAAGAGACGCGCTCTCCTCATCGCAACGCAGTAGATCTGTTCAAACTCCAAAAAACTTACCCACACTATGCCACAGTAAAAGGGCAGAGGAACTCAATAGCAGGTTAATTTCCGATACAGCGCTAACTTATCTTCATTCTAAATATTTATATTACTGCAAAAGCTAGAAGTTCAAACAAAAAAAGCATAGAAGCTGCGATTTCACAGCCCACAGACAAGTAATATGTTATCTGGGTTGGAATTTATTGTTGTTTTTTTAATTCCCACGTTGATGAACCGATACATTCATTTTAAAAGAAACGAATATTTAACATAAATATTCCAGTTCAGCCGGAGACAGGCATCAGTCGTGGTTATCCATGCTTTCCAACATCTCTCTAGAGCAGACGACGCACGCACAGAAGCGATTATATAAATTTAGGCCGCACGCTGGCAACACGATTCGATCTTCACTGAAACACCGAACAGTACCACATCGTTTTCCGCTAGAATTGTTTTCCCACCGATAGTATGCGGCAAAATAAACGCAAGAATCTACGCCGTCTCGCGCGCGAACGTGGAGAGCCTATGGGGCGGCTGTTCTCCTATCCCCGCTTTGATGATGATGATAGCGCGACCGTAGCGCCACCTCTAGGTCGATCTCGAGGCCAATAGCTTTTTAGTAGTATGAAATAGAGCAGCAGTGCATGCAACGCAGTCTGTCACACTCTAACGCCCATGTGGGAACCAGCCTTCCGGTCAGCCGGCACCGTCCACACGAACGGGTATCCGAATGTCGAGAGTCACCTTCTTTCCTTGTCAAGCCGGGGTCTCCGCCGACGACGGTGGCCGTGGGGGTCATCCCCATCGACTGATGCTGGCCGGCACCGCCGGACATACTGGGCAGCGGTCCCCCCATGTCGCGCACTCGGAGTCCAAGGCAGGGAGACATGGACACCAGACCCGACAGCATGCCGCTTCCCTGGCCCATCCCGCCGGTGCCCATGGGGTCCAAGGGCGACACGTTGGTTGCAGGCACGTAGTCCGCCGGGCCGCACATCTGCCGCGCGAAGGGGGAATACGTCGCAGTAAGTAATCGAACCGCAACGAACTGCGATAAAATGTAACGGTTGCACGCGATCGACTCCTTCGACGCAATGTGGACACGTCTGAATTTCAGCGACCACAAGCCATTGTGGAGATATGGTTTGAACTAGATCCTGCTAGACTTAAGGGCTTTACCGCCTTTTTCTTTTTTATCAGACTGACATTACTGGTACCAGATTGTGAATTCGATTACCGTTCGATAACAAAGCCGAAGCCCTAAATCTTCTCCCACACATACTGGATGCCAGACTATATTTCACATGAGTGCTCCGTAAGTGTTCGGCCGGGGTTCATGTTTTCACTGGTTAAGCACGAGCCAAAGCCGAACGTTGAGGCAGAACTCGTGTCCAAGCTGTGGCATGCGCTGGACTTAGGTCAGGGTAGAAAGTCCAGGGTCTTGATATCTTGGATGTGTTGGACAGAAGGAGGTCAACATCGTGTCAGTCTGCTATAAAATTAAGTCTCTGAAACACCAACATTCAGTAGGATCTAGTATAGCCAACGGCACTTTAAGAAACGGGGAGCGTTTATTAGGTTCATGTTTCGTTCTTCTGCACACCTACCGGCTCATGCTGCGCGCTGATTACCTGCTACGCGGTTAAAAAAAAAAAGATGCTTCGACCACGCCCTACTTTTCTTACTTTGCCAGTGATTCTAGTTCAAACCGTCCCCACTATGGCCTATGGTCTCGCCACGGTTTACTCGTGCACGAAGCACGACGCGAGTTACTGAGTAGCAACCATTGATATTTTATCTACTGAGTCCAAGTTCAAATCACAATTCAATGTTGTTTTATGACTTTGAAAATATATGTAAACTGATTGGTTTACACTCATTATTTAATAGACGGATGATGAGTAATTTCATGTTTTTGCGTAAGGTTGTGAATAATGTTGTTGATTGTACAACATCGCTACTGAGCTGTGTACATTTACGTGTTCATCAATAGTCCATCATGTACGCTCGTTGTTTTATCTTTCAGTTTTATGCAACACTGATCCCATTACCAGTCTGCAACTGGTTGCTAACGCATTCGTATCTAACCCCAGGTAAATTTGATATTAATATTTTTGGATGCGAAGAAACATTTAGAAAGTGCTTGACGTCTCTCTTCCATGGTGACACGTCAACACTTGTTCATGAGAGGCGAATTCTTATTAATATGATGTAGCGCTCCACTAAAACACGACCACGACAAAGTAGGCTGCGATTGACAGTGGTAGCTGCTGCATTGTGGAAGGACATGATGATGGAGGTTTGCCTTCAGTCAGTCTGCTGTACAATGCTCCAATGTTCGCAAGGGGTTCTTAGAACGGAACCTGGGTGGCGGCAGTGGGGAAACAAGGGAGCGTGTTGCCACAGCGCGACCACCTGGGTATTTCGTAACTGCAGCTGCCGGAAGGGTTTGCATATGGATGTGTGTGTATCTGTGGCCGGGGGTGGGGGGGGGGGGGGGGGGGGGGGGGGAGCGTCGCTGGACGGTCTGTGGACGTAGCGGCAACGATGGGTAGGAGAGGGCGCTCTCCCTGTGATAACGTGGGTTTTTCTGTACAGCGGCGGCTTACAAGCGGGAAGTGGGGAGGAGGGGTGGACGAAAGAGAGCCTTGCTGTAGTCGGCGTGTAAGTGTGATGGTGTGAGGAACGACGAGGAGAGGGAGAGCAGTGCTTCTGCTGTAGTGTGGGTTTTGCATTCGTACATGAACTTTTTTGCCGAGAATGGGCATTAATAGCTACCTCTGTAAAAGGCGTAGAGCTGTTTTGTGGCACTAAAGAAAATGAATGAGTGAAAGGAAGTTCGGTTATTTTAATTAGGTAATAACAATTTCAAAGTTACTGTTTCTGTAATTAACTGCTAGTAATCGATTACTATCTCTTCTCAATGTCTGCGGTTGTGAAACTTCGCGAAAATTCGTTTTGCTCAAGAGATGCGTCAGTTTCTCCGGAGTCACTCAGCTAAGCCACAATGAATGTTAAATTGTGTTTTCTGTCGCTCGGAAGAACTAAGATATCGCGAGGGTCATCAGGTCAGCTTGCAAAGCAATCCTACTGAATGTTCTAGGCTATTTATTTTGGGGAGGGGGAGTTCTCACGACCCTATGGCTTTACGGCGTTGGCTACTAGATCCGGGCCTAAAAAGAAGCAGCAGACAACGGCACTGACGTCATCCAGCCACTCTACCTACCCAAGAACGGCATCCAACAAAGATCGCCTTCCCCCCGTCAGCTAAGAGAGGATTCAATGCCACAGCTGACGTTTTCCCCAGACAATGGAGGGAAAGGACTTATACGAACTTTGACATTTATATTGCTCTAATTCAACATTCTTTACACGAAGGACAACATAAAATGAACAAAAACTAAAATTCTCATTTAACTTGTATACTTTTATTATAGTATTATTTTAAAAGAGAGTAACAGTAACATTGATTCATTATTTTCCGATAACGTTTCAAAATAGGTTTAGGAAGCTGTTTTCAATTACCGCACCCACTTACAAGTTCCCATGGGTTAACCGCAAGAGTAATCAGTGACTTTCTTCATTTAGGTGCCCAAGACTTCTTCGATCTTATCAAAAACGGTCCAATGCGCTGCGGAAAAGCCACTGGTGTAGTTGCAAGTCACGCTAATCCGTGGAGCTGACGACCGTTTCCTCCGCAGTTATCGATGGGATATGTCTCGCCGGCCAGACACATGATACATCCTGCTTCCCTTCGGGGATCTATTCCATTAGTGTTCCTTGCGCTGGCCGGCGGTGTTGCACCACGAAAACTCTGGTTTGGGTGTCCTAGAAAAAAGCCGCACCGAGAACACTTTTCCGCTCTAGTTCACGACGCCAACGGTGCATTTTCTAGGGTAACATACAAACGGGTCAAGATCTGTCTACTCAGAATGTTGCTGTAAGTGTTGAACAAGAAAAAAAAACTATCTATATGACCACTCGCTCCATGACTCTAGAAAGACACGCCAGTGCGTCAACATTGAAAGCAGAGCGTTTCCGATCGCCGTTTCCAACCAAAAAAAGAGAATGGTTTGAAATATGTAACTAAATTAAATATCCTAAAACTGACGCGTTGGTGCAAATGACCCAACTTTCTTCAACCTTTCCAGCCCGGCATAACTTTCCAATTCATCTGAACTGCGGCAATGCGATAAAAACTATATAGTCACCATACCACAAACAACCAATCGAATCGCTCTCTTTCCTTGTTTCGCACAGGACGTCCACTAACTCAAAGTAACTTTTTTTGTCGCAATGTGAGCGATCCGAGCGTATCAGGAGAATGCCACCTACCAAGTTCTGCACCTTTCTCCTTTTAACTTCATCAATAGTCGCCCTAAGCAGCGCAGCCCAGTTCGCGTCCCCGTCGCCGCGAGCGCGTCTTGAAGCGTCTCGAAAGTTCACAACAAGCACAATGTATAGCAGGCGCGACACCAAGACGCGCGCATCTGCCTCTTTACTGAGTATGCTCTGGTCAAGCCTAGGCGTGTTCGAAACTTGGGGCGCTTCGAGGCTCCACTGACGATGGCGTAATGTGCGAGTCTTGTCGTTTATAGTCACTGGCGAGACCAACGGGGAAGTCTTTCAGTTACGCCTTCTCGAACGCGAGCTTTCTACCTTCGATAACGCTTTGGAGTCTCGTGCGTTTCGACTTAGCCAAACACGCTGGAAGACAGCTAGCACGTCCTGGGCATGTAAAAGAGACGCCTTGCCGTTCTCATTCTGTAAGAGACTATACAGCCACTGAAGGAATGAGAAAGGACGGAAGGATGGATGTCTCTTTTGGATACCTCCAGCACGCGCGTCTTGCCCTCCGTAGTGCTTTGATTTCTTAGTGCACAATCGAAGTCCCCGAAACGCCGCACTCAAAGCGGTAGGAAGCTCGCGCTAAAAGCGCGAAACCTGAAAGACCTCCCTATCGTTCTCATCTTGTCAATGACTACAGGTGGCATTGATCGGAATCCTGTACATAACTTAGGCACTAAGTGCTACAGCGTTTGTTGGCGAAAAAAAAAACGCGTTTGGCCCCACGAGTGTACGTGCAGTGCAAGGCTGATCCACCAAGTGCTGAGCCGAAATTTGGAAGACAGCTCTCGTTAGACTAGACGGGTCGGTGTGCGACCAATGGGCCGCAAGCGGCCCAACGGTGCTCTCTCCGGCTGCGTACCTGTTCCTGCGGTCCAGGCGACGAGCCCCCCTGCTGGTGCAGTCCCAGCATGACCTGGATGCTGTGGAAGTGTCCCCTGGAATCCTCCTCGGCCTGCTCGTCCGTCGGCATGTCGTGCATCGACGGATCCTGGAGCTGCTGCTGCTGCGCCTTAGAGCTCAGGTGCATCGCGCCACGCTCCTGTTCGCCGCCTGCAGTGCGTGGAACAAGATCACAGACGGATAAGCCGCAGTCATACTGCACATACATTAAACAAGAGACACGGCGTTCGCTGGCAGACATGATGATAGAAGCATCTGGAGTAGATAAGGACAGTACCTAAGGAAACAAATTATGCCTCAGACAGTATCTTCCGTTGCAGTTCAAACATCTAGAAAATAGGGCATTAAACCAAGAAAATCTACCAAATTGAAGGCGCCTCCCGTTCAGCCGGCCCGGCCGACACCACCCGACCTGTTCCTAGCCGCTATGTTTGCTCGCAGGTGGCGCCCCCTGTAGGTCGCTGGAATCGCGAATAATCTTTGACGGAAAATACACTTTTAAAACATTTACTATAGTCTTCCGCAGGTTAAGAGCAGCGCGACAAGTTCCTCCCCATAAAGCCCTCCGCTTCCCACTTTAGCAGTGGAAACGTTAAAGAAGGGACGGGTGGAAAGGAAAACTTGGATGCACGTTTGATCATTTTACCAAACGGCGGGAGCTTTGTAGGACTATTGTCAGAAAAAAGTGCTTTAAAACTAAATAAAATTTTATTCAACATTAGGATTGTTACAGTGGTCGTTCCGCAATTTCACCGCACGCCAACACAGTGTGGCGATGGTTCGTGGCCCTGCAGTGGTTGTCGGGCTGTCGTGGTTGTCGCTGTTTTCAATGTTCTTGGCGGTGCTGCCGCTTGCGAAGCTGAGTCACCACATCTGGGCTCTTCGGTCTCCTGATCGCTGCTCGGCATGCTGTTGACGTTTCGCTGACGCAGCAGCGACAGGGCCTGTTGATCCCATTGAGCCTACCGTTCACGTGCTACCTCTGCGCGCCGTCGTTTTCGCTTCTGATTGTTAGGACCATAATATTGAGACGGGCGCCTGCATTTAGGTGGCATTGTGAGGTCGAGAGGCTAAATGGCGCGTGGGGAGAGAAAGGTTGGACTCTGTATAGAAACGGATTACGCCACACTGTTGTCTCTTTGTGACGCTGTGCGAGCGTCCCATTAGCACCACGTGGATACAAAGCCTTTGCGCTGAATTTTAGGGGTTACCGAGAAACGATGAGAAGCGCTCTTTCCTGCCCTTTCCATTCCTCCTCCTCCCCAAACGCACTCTTTATGCACCACCTGTTTCTGCTCCTCTCGTTTCTGCGTGCTGGGTCCCTGGCGGAGTCAGCAGCGCACTCGGCTTCCACGCCGGTGACCGCGGCTCGATTCTCGACACTGGTTGCTGTTTATTTTCTAAATGATTTAGAGGCTACAGACTTACCAAACTACACATTTCGTGCATACGCGGCTCCTGAGGTTGGTTGGCCCTATTAAGTTGCTGCTACAAAACCGGCAATCATGGCAAGCTGGAAAGCTTTGTGGAAAGGCCTTGTCGTGCTAGACTTAACCTGCAACAGCCTATAGCAGTGGCTAGCAGACTCCGCGCGCTAGCCGGCGAAAACTTCCCTGATACTTCAGTGGACAGGAACTTAACGAACTTTGACAATCACTGCCGTAGAAAGCTATTAGCGTCCTTGCGCAATATAATAAATGAATGTGAAGTACGGTTCATCTATGTTACTCACTTCTGAGCTTTTTCCCTCACGAACGACCTATCTGGAATGTCAATCCTTGAAAGAGACTTCCTATAGCACTATACTTTCAACTTCCCTGTTGTGTATGCGCAAACGGAAGAATGTATTGGAAAACGTGAATATTCGCAACTCTAACGATCATTAGGTGGCGCTATCTTGATCAAAATGGCGAACGAAAGGTGGTTGGCTTCATAGTTCGGTATCTAAACGCTTTCTATTTCAAGTCATTTTAGCGTAGCATCAAGATGTAAAGTAAAAGAGCGCTTTTTCGACACTCAAAACGTTTTATTTTATTCATTTTTTGTCGGTTCAAGAAAGTTACGCGGTAACAGCATGAGAATAGCCTAGCATGCGTAAGCTCCATCACGCCGTTGTGACAGTATTTTAGAACACCTTTAATGACACCCGAATGGGATATTGTTTTAAATGCGGAGGACCCTCGAATTAATTTTTTTAATATAAGTAATCGACTCAAACGTCGCGTTAATACACGGACGAACCGAAACTGCTGCTGTGTAGGCAACTAGGAAGAGGTATTAAGGCTGCATTTATTAGAGGTTGATGATCGCGACGTCAGCATTGCAATGTGGAAAGATGTCTCCGCTTTAAAAATATAAACGTTCGTGGACACCTTTCTCTGCTTCTCTCCCCTTCTGCTCGTTTTCTAAAATCCGCATGTTCACGGGATCATATTTCATTCATGACCAGTGTGTGTGATAGTGCTATTGTCTAATTTTATGGTAGAGATAACCTCAGGCTCTATCTTTCAGCGGGGGTGAATATCAAAATTTTAATAATAAAATTCTAAGAATAATGGTGATTTTATTCGAGGAAACAGGTTAACCAAACCCCTCGGGCTCACAAAAGCAACGAATGCTGTCTGTGGGGCCAGGTCCAACGTACGAAACACATACCATATTCAATTATCACTTTTATAACACTAACCTTATGTTTTAGTCGCACTGAATAAAACAAAACAAATCCAACGAAGTCATTTTACTGTCGAATACAGGGTGGAAATGCAAAGAAATTCCCAAACGAATTAATTAAACGTTGAAAACGAAAGACAAAAGGTTCAAGCCACTTCATCACGTGTCACTTTCAAGATACCAGTTTCTGAGTCGTTTTTTTTTTATTTTTTATTTCACTTTATTTGTAAAGGATAATCCAAATAAGTCATCTGCTGATTTATTAAAGAACAAAAAAATTGTGTTTTTTTTTAGATTCTATAAATATTTTGGGTACAACACATCGTTCAGTGTGTCTCATATTTCTCTTTCTAACCTTTGTTTTTTTAAGCTTTTATTATAATAATAACGCGTTAATAAGACGTACTCATATAGCTTCAAAAAGGTCAGTAAGCCTAAAGCATTTCCTTTTTTATTAATTTCTAAATCGATCAACAAGGTTGTGTAAGCAATGTTCAAATCGAATCACATAAAATTTATTTCACAGAAAAAAACACATACGTAAGCAGGTCTACTTAAGCCTAGGAAGGCTTGTGTCACAGAAACTGGCAGCGGTGATCATTCCTCGAACATTACCAATTCAAAGCAATGAGCGAGGGCTAGCAAGGGTGCCTAGGTTATTTGGTTTTATCATTGTGCAAGTTTTCCGGGATTTATATTTGTTTAAGGTTAGACTTTAGTAATAAAATGTACTCGGGTAGGTGTTAAAAATCTTAGGAACATAAAATGATCAAAAACTTTCCCTATAATGGCAATAAATTCAAGGTATACATTATAGCGTGTAGTATTTCTGAAGGTACAGGGAGCTATTCTCCTTGTGCCAAACTCACTGGACCAAAAGTGGCGAAGTACAGAAGTTTAAAAAATAGAGTAAAAACAAGGCCATTTAAGTAGGCAAAAACAAGCTTTCACTGGAAGAAGATGCTAAGCCTGAAGATACAGTTATCAAAAATACCCTCAAAATACTGCCGATTCTGGCATACCACTTAAGTGAGAAGTTAAAAAACAAGAGTAACGCCATATCTAAGAACGGTATATGACAGGGTATAAATAAAACTTTTAGAGCGCAGCTGTCAGGCGCCCATTTCCGGGTTTCGCGGCGCCGGCGTCGGCGTAACCGCACTAAATTTAGTGGGAAATTTGACGTCACGTGATCTCAATGTCAATTCCATTCTCCGCTAAATTTAGCGGGGAAATTCAGTTTCTCCGCTAGATTTAGCAGGCGAATTGACGTCACCTGACCTCTACACAAATTCAATTCCCCGCTAAGTTTAGCGGGGATTTGAAATGGTGTTGAGTCACGTGACCTCCATTTTCCCGCTAAATCTAGCGGACAAACCAAATTTGTCCATGGATCTTGTGATAGCAAGTCATTTGGCGTCATTTTCCCCGCTAAATTTAGCGGGGGGAAGCTGAATTGGAGGAGGAGGAGGTTAGAGGAGGGATGGAAGAGGAGGAGGGGCATACCCTTCCCTCCGTACCCCCTCCTCACCTCCTCAAGAGCTGCGCTCTAATTTCGCATTACAAAGATTTGTTTAAAGTCTTTCAATTTTTCTAGTGGCAAATCGTAGAAACACTTTTTTGTGTTTAAATCTGACATGGCACAGACCTGAGGCGCTTCAAAACAGAGGAGAGATGCGTATTCTAACTTAATTAAGAGAAAGAACAAGGCGCAACTACTTAAAGGGGCGGTGCAACGATTTTCAGACTTTGGCCTATTTACTGCAAAAATTAATGTGACCCATAAAACACACAAAAAAAACAGAAAACCGTATTTTCTTGGAAGGGGTAGTTTTTATTTTAAAAAAAATTAAACAAATCAAAGGTCAAAGTGCCTCTTAACTATCCACGTCGCTTTTCGGGTGACATACTATGGGAGATTCCATGGTTTCCCCTTGGGGTCTCTCTTCAGAGACCCCAGCTAGAGTTCCTGTATAGCTACCCTAGGGAGCCTATACAGGAACTCTAACCCCAGCCGCGTCCTCCGCGATTATCGACTTTTAAAGAATTAGCATCGTCGAAGGTCGCGACGAGCGATCGACACAAAAGACGGTTGGCTACGGGGCTGACGGCGAGGGTAGCAGCGGAGGAGGACAGGTTTTGTTAACTTCCGCGTATCCCATGGAGTACGTCACACATCAGTTCCGTTAACCACCACAAGCGGCTGCACATCGGCAAATATTTCGTTTTCTTCTTGGCAGTTACGCACCGGAATAGCAGTTGTTCGGGGCAAGGTGACGCATTTTTGGTCACTTGTGCTTGGATAAACAATATAAAAAATACAAATTGCCAATTCTTTCAACAGTAAACTCGTTGCACTACCCCTTTAACGGAAGGAACATACTGAACTGGGCTACGCAACATATCCGACAATTGAAGTTATGCAAAAACAAAAAAAAAAGGGGAACGAATTTTATT